TTTTATATATATATATATATATATATATATATAATATTAGGAAAAAAAATTGTTTTTGCAAAGAATATCATTCTAAAGGATTTTTTTTTTTTTTGAACCAATAGACAAATTTGTATTTTTAGCGTTACAAACTAAACCAAAGAGCATCTTAAGGATTAAAAGTGTTAATAGGAGAAAAAATTGGAGACTAAAACTGGTTAAGTTTTTCTTAACGACTAGGAGTAAAATTCCAACAAAAAAAAAAGGGATTAAAAGTATCTTTAACCATAATAATAAGCATAAATATAAATACAAATATACCCAATCCGTTAAAAATTAAAAATATCCAAATTAATATATGAATTCAATAAAAATTTATTACTATTTTTTACAACATAAAAAAAATAGTACTTAAAAAATAGTTAAATCTATACTAATAATAAAAAAGAGTACCTTATTTTGTGTACACTTATCTTATTTTACCTTTAATAACTATAAAAAAAATGTCATAAATATAAAAACAACATAAATTGTTTTTTCTGTTTTTTCATGAAGGTACGTAGTGTTTTTTTTTTTTACTAGTTTATATATAAAGTGCTTTAAGTAAATCATGGCTGTCTATTGTCTAATAACAAAGTAAATATTCTTAAATTGTAGTGCACGAGTTATTTTCAAAGCTTTTTTTTTTTGTTTTTTTTTTTTTTTTGAAGAGTAAAAGCTATAGCTATATAAATAATCAGACAATGTAGTTATAATATTAGACCTTTATTTTTCTTACGGCAGTAAAATAGACACAAGAATTTGTGAAGCATAAAAAGCTAATGTTCACCGTAAATACATATAAATTGCTCAATTTTAACAAACTTAAATTCTTAATCAGATTTCAATGTGATTAGCGGTGAAAATCACCCAAAAAAAAAAATCGATAGTCACATGAGAACATGAAGAAATTGAAATTTAAAATTCAAAAGATTTATCATAATTGGGCGAATAAAAAAATTGAATAAGTAGAAATATTATAAATGAAAAGGAGAAATAAGCGTGTAGATGTAGCTTTCCATTGCAACACCACACAAAACGTACTAAAATGTCCAATGTATATATTATTATTATTATTATAAGTAGATTATAAGGGGAAATTTGGTAAGGGAATTTTTTTTTTTTTTTACTCGAAAGATGATTTATGAAAATTATAAATTCTGAAAATCATGATTATTGTGAATAACTAAAATATTTTTAGTTATTCATAAATGCTCATAAGAATATTTATATAAGATTTTTAGGAAGTAAATATTTTTAGGTTTGGTTACAATAGTATATTCTTGGGTATATAAATATTTTTTACAAAAATATTCTTTATTAAAATAAACTCATTATATACTTATTTACTGAAATCTTATTATAAATATGACATTAAAGTATTTTAAAAAGTTAAAAATTTATAGTTAAATTATTTAAACATAGAATTCAACAAAGAAAAATGGTACATAATAAATAATAAAGATAAAAACATATTATTTCATTTCATTTAAATAAATAAATAAGTGTTAACAAATTCATTAAACTCTAGAAATAAAATTGACTTTAATATTATTAAAATTGACAAGGTCAATAAATGATGAAACACAAGAAAAAGAAAGAGAAATAGAGATATGAGAGGGAGAGAGAGTGAAAGAGAAGGGGAGTGAGAGAGAGAGGAAGATAATTAGAAAAATTCATTCTCACAAAATAAAATTATCCACACGTATAAGGATCTTAAATTGAACACGTATTTTATTTCTTGGCTCTCTATATATAGAAGAAAATTATAATACAAAATTTGAATCATATAATTCTCCTAATTAAAAAAATAAGGAAACAAATCTCTAAAAAAATATTAAAAACAAATAAAAATTTGTAAATCTAAATAATATCCTAATGATTACAAATTCCTAAAACAACTCCTTAAATTTCTATTTACTCAAGTTATTTGAAATTTGAATTATTTTCCTAAAAAATTCTCGCTTAATTAAAATTTTCAAATAACTGGATGATTAAAACATTTATCTTTTCAAAACATGTCCTTCCAATATTAGGCAGCTCTTGTTGTACACTTTGCATCCCTATTTTGAACTAACATAACTATAGTCTTATGATGTCAACTCTTCTAATGAAATTATATTGGATGCAACAAAAGATACATATCTCACATTTTCAAAAGTTTAGATGACCCCCATTGTGAAGTTTCATTCTCATAGTCTCAATGCCTTTAACCTCCATTTTTCACCATTTCCTAACTTAAATTGACCAAATTCACCATTAGTTTTAAAGTGAAAAATATTGTTTGGTCTTTACACATGTGCTTTAAGGTAGCAAAATCCATTGTGCATTTTGATCTAGCAACTTTCTCAGTAGTTGCCAAATAAACATCTTCATCGTTGTGAAGGTTTTGGAGAGTTATCATCATTTCTCTTCACAATTCTCAATTTTTGAAGGTTCTCTCTCATTTCTTTACACATTGATTGCACATGACCTTTCTTCCTACAATAGTAACATTGCATGTTATTCATATCTCGTTCTAGATGTGATTGAAAATTTGATCTTCCTCTAGGTTCATCTTATCTCCATGAATTACTTTTCCCTTGCTCAGAATGTTACATGGCTAGTGCGTGACCTTCAATATCAATATTCTCATTGTTCATCATTCTCTCATTTTCTCTTAGAGTGGATGTCACTTCAATGAACTTCAATGATGTTTTTTCCTATAAGCAACGTCTAAACTAAAGATTTATAAGACTTTGGTAGTGAAACCAACAACAATACTACTGTTTGCTCTTCATTAGAAATTTTTTCATTTACATTTAGTAATTGACATACTAGTTGGTTGAAATGATTAATATGATCATGAAGATTTCCTCCCATCTCCATTTTGAGTTGATACAACTCCATCTTCAAATATTGGAGATTGGTTAACGACTTAGATGCATAAAAGCCTTTAAGTTTCTCCCACAAGGCTTGTAGTCTTGTCTCCTTTAACATGTTGGACTTGATCTTGGTAGTAAGAGCTAACTGAATCATGCTCACAGTCTTCTTTTGGATATGACTCCATTCTCTTTCATTGATAGTATTTAGTTTTTCATCTTCCAAAGCCTAATCAAGACCTTGTTGCACTAAATATCTTGAATGGTACATTGCCGAATCAAAAAATTTGTTTTACCATCAAATAACGGTATCGCAAACTTTTGTATGTTCTTTTTCATAACTCTATGAAGGATAAATTTATACAAGATCATATTGCTGCAAGTAGAAATAATATATGTAGCTAGTTACTAGAAAACACATAAAACAAGGTCAGAATAGAAATTTATCAAAATATAGAGCTGTTAAGATTAAACTTCACCAATCTCACCCTCATGTACGTCCTATGATATATATATATATATATATATATATATATATATATATACTCCTATTATATATATATATATATATAATTTCCATTACCCAATACCTTTGAGTTCATTGAATTCATTCAAAACCAATTCCTTGATTTAGAAATTCTAAGGACTACAACTTAACAATTGATTCCTCAAGCTATCAAGTTAAAATCCTTGCATTAAGTATGAGAAGTTTTCCAACTAATAACTTCAAATCTATTCTTATTCTTTGAGGCTATTAGGTGCTTTGATTCAAAACTAAGTTCAGAAAACGTTTTCCAACTGAAATCCAAATTAAAGATCGAAGATGAGTGATCAGATCATCCAAGCATTAAGAACAAAATCAAACCTGTTGATACTGAATAATAGAACCTCATATATATGAAAATCAAAAGGAATACATGAGAGTTTGATGGTTACATTTAGTCTCAATGAAAATAAAGATTAGCCCCTCATAGTGATGGGAACCAACCCAATATACATGGAAAATGGGAAGAAGAATAAAGGAAAAGCTAAAGAACCCTTGTTCCCAACTGGTTACAGAGTAGGGAAGAGAAAGAGAGAGAGAGAGAGAGAGAGAGAGAAAACGAATCAACTGTTTCAAAACTGCTAAGCGCTTAGGAGTTCTTCAAGGTGAAGTAACTTGTAATGGCTTAGCCCCTGGTCCAATGGCTGAGCGCCTGAGCTTCAAAATTTTTGCCTCTTTGACTCTAAATCGCTCGGTCCTTTTTCAATCGCTGAGTGATTTGGGGTTTTCTCCCACATGCTTCTCTGCCTTTAAATCGCTCAACCCTTTTGCAACCACCGAGCGATTTGGGTCTAATTTGAAGCCTTTATCTTTTCAACATCTGCAAAACAAACACCCCATAAATTAATAAAAATTTTCATCAACTCTCAATAAAAAGTCTTATTTCATATTCTTTTGATTTTATTTACAACCTTAAGGGTTTAACTATAAATTTCATACTAAAATAATTAGATAAGTGTCAAAATTGATTAAACTAATTACGTAAATTTGACACTTATCACTCTAATACCACTAATGGAAAAAATTTCTCCTCACACAATAAGATTATCCACATGTCTAAAGATCTTAAATAGAACACACATATTTTATTTCTTTGCTCTCTATATATAGATCAAAATTGTAATACAAAATTTGAATTATATAATCCTCCTAATTAAAAAAGCAAGAAACAAATCTCTAAAAGATATTAAAATATATAAAAATTTATAAATCTAAATAATATCCTAAAGATTACAAATTCCTAAAATAACTCCTTAAATTCTCACTCAATTTATTTGAAATTTGAATTATTTTTCCAATAGGAGAGGAGAAGAAAGAAGAAGTGAAAAAGAGGGAGAGGGAGAGGGAAGAACGCAGAGTGAGAGTAAGAGAGAAGGGGAGAAAAAGAAATAAAAGGAAAAAGAAACAAATAATTCATAAAAGTTAGATTTTCACCTTCCACAAGAATGCTTTTGTGGAAAAATGAAATAAAAATAATTTTTGAGAAACTATTGTAGTAAACTTTTTAAAAATAACTAACAAATATGAAAAATCAAGATTCTTGATTCTTAATTAAATAAAAATACCCAACTTCCCAAACGTCCCCCTTCAGTGTGTAAATAATTCTTTTACACCTCCAATATTCCCTCTTTCAATTGAAAATAAAATGAGTCACTTTAACCAAAATTTATCTTGGGCAATAATTTCTACAAACTTCTTTTTATTACCGTATCTCTTTACATAACATTGTTGCGTAATATCCATAAACACATCACGCATTTATTAAGAAAACCACATGAAATCACGTCGAAGATTAAAGTGTTGCAAGTTTCATACCGGTGTGCAAATACATGATGTATAAAATTTTAAACTCGTTGTCATATACTCTTTCGGTTCCTTTTTTTCTATCAGAAGTTTTTAGTAAAATTTCATTTTTTATTTATTTATCATTTTTAAATTTCAAGCCAACATTAATTATTATGTTATCAATTATTCTCTTACATATCATCTAACTTTCAATTAATTTACACATGACAACTAATATGCATTTATCATGAAGCAAAAATAAAAGAAAGTATAATAGAAAATATTAAAATTATTCTATAAAAAAATACAAAAATTTATTACACTTACTAATTTATATAAAACAACGAACGAAGGTAGTAATAATCAACCACACTTTCAAGTCATTAAATACCATGACTTGATCGTCAATATAAAAACACATTGAAACATAATGTGAACAAAAACCAAACTCTTCATCAATTACCAAACAACTGAATGATAAAGTGTTTTTATTCAAGTAATGGTAGCCAGTTTGCCACAGTTTTAACATTTTCCCTTGTCAATATAAACCAAAGACATGAAATCCAAATCACAAAACAAAAGTACAACTTTAACTACTCTACCCTCTCTATTAAAGCATTACCATAACACTAGCGTGTATTACTGGATAACTTGTATCGAAATGCGATTGTTAAGGCAAAACGTTCCATTTTTTGCTATGTATGCATTCATTGCTTGAATCCTTGAATGGAAACGTACTGTGATCATTTTAAGGGGATCTGCACGTACACCTTCTCCAGCCCTGAAAACAAGCAAGAACCATCATTCTGAGAGAATCATAAAATTAAGGGTTAAACATGATTTTAGTCCTTCTATATATATAAATGTTCCATTTTAGTCCCTTATAATAAAATCATCCCTAGTTTGCAAAAATATTGATCAAAGGACACATTTTCATAAATAAAAGACCAAAAGGAGAATATTTTCTCGAGACTGAAATCAATAATTGCCCTATTTAAAAGGATTAAAAACATGTTCAATCCTAAAATCAATTATAATATATATTTAAAGTATACTTGATGTTAACCTTAAATACATGTTGATGGAGGAGAAATCATATTCAAAACCCGACAGGATGCGCTGTACATCTTCATATGTAGTGGCTCGAGGAACTCCTTCAATTAAAATCTACGGAAATCAGGCATTGTTAGATACATTGGTGTTTCCACAGTAATGTTTGTGTTAAGAGAGAAAACATAGACATACATGATGTTGTTTAAATGACACCACGAAGATATGTTTATATGAGCTTATTTCATGTATTGTTTCCCCTAAATAAGATATTATGTGCCTATTAGCTATGTATAATTACATTGTGACTCTCAACACTCCCCCTCAAGTTGGTGGCACATAGATCATATGCATCTAGCTTGTTACATATATAACTAATTTGTGGATCTCTTAAGGATTCAGTAAGAACAATTGGCAGCTAACCACTAGAGTTGATAAAGATGGTTGTAATTATTCCAAACTCAATACTCTCCATGATGAAGCAGCAATTGACCTCAATATGTTTAGTCCTCTCATGAAACACTAGATCAGATGCAATATGCAAGGCAACTTGATTATCACATATAAGTATCATTTGTATAGACTCTTCAAAAATTAGTTCTATGTGCAATTGTTTCAGTTCAGCCATGAGTTCACTAGTTACTAAAGCCATGGTCTTGTATTCTGCCTGCGCACTAGATTTTGCTCTTTTTACTAAACTTTATGTGACAGATGATAACCAATGAAGACACATTTGACGGCCCAAGAGGAGAGTTTAACAAATTTAGGAAAGATTGTGAACAAAACATGTGGAGACAAACACAGGGAGGAAGTGTATTGAGTAGAAGCCTTAGTAGCTAGCTTTGGATGAATCCAAAGAATGATAGATGTCATAGTCATATTAGGGACCCGTATGTGACCCAAGAATTTGGTCCCAATAGGCAAAATACTCAAAAGGCAAAACATAAAGGGCAAGGACCATGAAGGCACTACAATTCTCAAGTTCTTTCTTGGCCTTAGCCAAAATAGAGGCATTAGGGGGAAAAGGTTCATTATAATCATGAAGGGCCACATGAACTCTTCCAAGATAGGTACACATTGATCCATCAAATTACTAAAGAGCAATAAAAGTCATTAAATCTTAACACTCCATAGAGATGATAAATATCAATAGTATAAATGATATGCCCCTTTGTCCACATTGATTCGCATGTGATATGAGGCCCAAAAACTAATTTGATAACGGGGTAAAGAGTGAATTTGATCACACTACAGAGTTGAGCATCATTTTTTCTCCCACTTGACATGATCAACCGCTACCACAACATTTACAAGTGAGGTGTTCACAATACCCTTAACCATTAATCCAAATGGTGATGTCAAAAACCTAAGTACGACAATTTGAATTTGAACCATCCAACTTCTCGGTTCATAGTAGAAAGTTTGGCAAAATAGGAGTATCAAGCTTAGGGGTCTGAAGAACCGATAGAATCATGGTCACTAAAACAAATTCAAACACAAAAAAAAAAAAAAAAAAAAAGGAAAGCAGAAAAGGACGAAAGAGACTACAATCTCGTCAATAAAGAATCAAAAGAGAGACCAAAAGAGAGCATAGGAGATCAAGTAAACGTTACGTAATTATCATATATACCCAAAAAAAAAAAAGAAAATTACAAAATACCAAATTGCCCCCATGAAAAAAAAGGGACAAACCAAACAAAAAAAAAAAAAAAAAAAAAAATGGGTACCTAAACACATAGTTTACATAGTAGGTCTAACTAAACGATGTTAGATTAGGACTAAAATTTGGGTTCTAACTCGTCGGAGTTGTGGGAAACAAAGGCAACATGCACTAGAAAAGCACTTCGAAACAATGTTGTTTGGCACAAATAAGAGGTGTGTGTGAGGGCACATCAGACGTCCTTTCACAACATTGTCAACAACACCGTGTAGGTTAGCAGACAATGCTCCAGATGGTCGGGTTGTGATAAGAACCTTGGGAAATCCAAACCACAAAAGCTAGCTCATGTAGCTGGAGAGCCCAAGTCCTTATAAAAAATACCTCGATGGGATCCTAACATCCCACCACGCTCCCCAACCCTGATGCCCACAAGGGTTGGCTATGCATTAGCCCCTTTGACTAATCCGAGGTGAACACTGCAATTTTGACATCACCACCCATGCCATTAGTTTGTAGTTGGGGGACATCATAGAAGGCTCTGATTCCAATTGATAAGAACCTTGGGGGAACCACACCACAAAAGCTAGCTCATGTAGTTAGAGAGCCTGAGGCCTTATAAACCCCACACTAGAAGGTTGCCAGCTAAAATAGTTGCTAAAGCACATTGGCGACCGAAAACAATGCCAAAAGCTAGGTAAAGAGTGGAGTGAAAAACTAGAGATATGCACAATTTGCCAAAAAAATTTATCTCTAGGGCCAGTGGGTCCACTAGGCAAGCACAATTTTCAAGGTCCCTCTATCAGGTTTTGGATACCATGTTAAGAGAGAGAGAACAAGGACATGCTAGATGTTGAAAGTGTCTAAATGACACCAAGATATATTTATATAGGCTTATTTCATTTAATACACATGAATAGGGTATATTTTGTTTCCCATAAATAAGATATATGTGCCTATAAACTATATATAATTACTAATTATTACATTGTGATTCTCAACAATTTGCATAAAGAACTTCAACCAACAATCTTCAGTTTAAAAACTAGTTCTAAATATAATTTGTAGTTCTAGCCAGCATATCAAAGAATCACTTATATGCATCAGTGGTAAATAGAACCATAACATTAATCACCAAATCGTTTATGGCATTCATGCCAAGATCTTAATCCTTCCATACCAAAAATCTAAGTAATCTGCTGATTTATATATAATGTGTTCAAGACGTCTCTTATAAATAAACTGAAACAATTTGATATTGTATCCTCAAACTAATATTTTCTCACACAAATAAATGTACCGAGACTTGAAAGGTTATGTATTAATTTAATTTTGAAACCTTAGAAGAGTCTTGCTACACAAGCCTTGTAGTATATCACTATCATACATAGAAATAAATCATCAAACACTTTTATTAGCAAAGTATTCTCTAGAACCAAGTGCTGCAAGGCATTCCAAAACAGTGGGATTTTAAATGACATGTTTTATCTCTGATGCAGTCAAGCACATTAACATGAGAATGCATAAGAATGCAATGCCTTAAACAGCTTGATCCTGACTAGAACATTACAAACTTTGAAAATCTGAAGGGGATAATCCTTTTTTATGAAGATGGTACATGTTTCAGATATGTAGACATTCATGAATAACTCCAGTTTTCCTGTCATTCCCCATTTAACAGAAGAGAAATGCTAACAACCATCATTGTTTGAAATTTGTTAGAACAACAAACTTGCATGACTCTACACCTTATTTATATTGTAATTTCAATAAATTTTAACCAATTGGAAAATGTTAGTGGGTTGCTACTTGCTAGCACTCCTCTTCTACAGACTTACTTTCTCAAATTCTTTTTAGTTATCCATGGTATTTTAATCTTAATCTCAAAGAACTCCTGTAAAATGTGCAAAATAAACATTCCTTAATTATATAGGTCAACAAAATGAACCAAAGTTCCACATTTCCCATTCATCCAGGGAATGTCAATGCAAAAGATTAAAAAATTTTAAGATTTTTACCTTCTAATTTTTGTGATCACTATTTATAAATCATGATATACATTGAATCTTATAGTTCTACGGAATTCTGCATCACATCATGATCTCTAGTTTACTCATTCAAAATTTTCTATATACAGCTTTTATACATAAACTTTGTAAACACGATTAATTCCATGTTGATATAAATTTCTAAATATATGTTGTAATAAACTTGATAAAAAAAATATTCTGAAACCTAGGCATTGATGAATAGGCCTCAAACAATTTGACAATTTCAACATTTGGTTATTTCAAGAATATGAGAAATCATCCAAAAATAATTACTACTCCTTTTAAAATAAGATAAGTGAAAATAGGTAAGAATCTATATACTGACAGTTTTTCCGTCATATGGAGTTACTCGGTCCCATTGGGAACGATCAGCCTGAAATCAATGAAAAGAAACAAAATCAAACATATGCCAACTATAAACAAATACAAAATAAATAAATAAAAAATAATAAATTGGCAGCAGATATATATGTACAGCATACCATCTCCAATTTGTATGAGCGACCCTTCCTAACAATCACCCTTATAGCATTATCATAGGAAGCTCGAGAAGGGAATTGCAACAACCTGATGTTATCCAAAACCTCAATTAAAACGATGTATTTGAGTATACAGTCTAAGGTGAGGAACATTTAGTCAAATACAATGATAATCCATTTTAAGGATGTTAGCTGAGCTAGATTAGAGAGGGGAGATACATGCAGATGAATTGAGGTTATAACAGAATGCTGATGTGGAAACTGAGGAAGAAAAAGATAGGGAAATCAGTTCGAATAAAAAGCGGGAGAGGGAAGGAAAGTGGTAGACAATAATTGGATGAGGATTGAGAAGGAAGGCTAGCATGCCCTCAAAAAGCTACTCTATCTTTTTACTTTTCCTGTATTATGATTCTATCTCCACATTTGGGATTATTTCTACTTATTTTTCAGGAGATACCTGAGTTCCTATCACAGGATGTGTATAACAAAATCTAACATTCCATTACATGTAACAAAAAGTAAATATTGAAATTGACATTTCCCTTTTGTTTTCTCAAACAAAAATCTTTGAAAGAGAAAAAAGAATGAAAGAAAAAGATGGCACTGATTATATTTCTATTCCAATATACTAAATCTTTCACAATTCCTCCAAAGCAACATGAAAGATGGAATACATTACGTTGAAACCGGAAAAAAGCTTCGGTTGTAATCCATTTTAACATCCTCCATAGTCAAATTACAACCTTCAAGGTAGTTGATGATATCTGTTTTCAGTACACGTTTATGAACACCGAGCAGCTTACCATATGTCGCACCTAATGAGAGAAAGAAAGGAAAAGAGTCAATACCTTGTATGGAAATTTCTCAAACTAATAAGAGAACTGTAAAGTGTTAAAAGGTATCTTTAAATTACATGACTAGTAGCGAATGGGTTCGACATGTCAATTAACACCTTATTGTCAAAATCCAAATGTATTTTAGCTGGCCAAATACAACCAGATGCATAAATTTATATTCTGTCATTTGCATCAATGATAAATACTGTATGTCAAAATCCTATAATTTCATGTGTTCATTATTTTTCTTTTCTCAAGCCAGTAGACTATTTTGGCTTTTATTTTTTTAGCAAAATACATTAATAAACATGAGGATTAACCAAAAAACTTAAAATAAATAATGCTCATGATATGAAGGATGAGGAAATTAATTTGTTACAAGTCTGTAACTTTTCTAACTGCACTACAAAGCAATACCTCTACCTCTCTGCAATGAAGCAGATGATTTTTTTTTTGAGAAAGGTAGATGTGTTATAGCATCACTATGCGAAGGGGGGTTCTAACTAGGTTAGCACCCCGCAACGCATCCCGCAACGCACCAATCATGTGCTCCACATCAAGAAAGGCTAAAAGTTAAAATGAAAGAAAAAAAAAAGTACAAAGTAGGGGGGACCAAACCAATCTTGTTAATTCAATCTTTCAGTTCTTTCATGAAATTCTATCCATCATGTTCAATTTACTTTGAGGATGCACTCCACCTTTGCCATTCTCTTATCCCCTCTCCCCCTTATAAATCTTACTATGAGCCTTACCTTAGACGAAAAAACGTTTAGAGTAATACATACACAGTGATTAAACAGTTACAAGATGATCTAACATTACATTACTCATTTCAAAATTTCATTATTTGCCCACTTTTTTGTTTCCTCCAAACCCCTCCATTGTAGCACACTAGGTTTGGGAGTAAGATTTTGGACCAAAATGAAGGGAATGGCATTTTTCATTACAAAACAAACACTCTCTAATTTGATGATTTTTTAAAACAAAAGAAATAAAACATTACATTAACATATACTCAATATGTGAATCATTTGTTTAATTTTACAGATATTATACAACTCTCTTAATCTAAAAATAAAACAACCCTCCCCCTTCTCCAAAACCCCACTCCCAAACATATCCTAAAGACACCGGTACCCTCATAGAAACAAGAAATGAAGAAACCTCATCTTACAAATAATAAAAATAACAACAGACTAATACTCTTATTTTCATCAGTAGGAATTATAATAACAACAACAGGGTTCGAATCTAAGACACTATGCATACCACCTCAACCAATAGGCCCTATGGTTCTAAAATACTAATAGTAACAATAGCAGTGGTAGTAAAAAAATTGATATTTCATAACAGCTAAGGCAATTTCAAAGAGCAATAAAAATGTGAGAAATAAGTGCATAAAAGGATGGTACCTGAATTGTCAGTGTCGAAGAATGAAGGAGAGGGTGTTGAATTCGGAAGTGACTGTTCTGCTTCAGTGGAGAAACACCTCAATGGGAGGCCATGACTTCTCTGCACAAGTGCACAAACACTAGTGCCACACTTGGACCTCAATGCAGCCCTAACAATGCCACTCATCTTCCACAAAACACCTGCTATTTCCAAAACTTCAAATAATAGCATAAAAAAATCACAACAACAAAGAAAGGGTCATAGCCCCCACCATGGTAGTTTTGCACAATAAGCATAAATAAACGTTTTTTCCAAGTGGAAATGCTGTTTGGAGAAACTATGGAAACGGAAACACAAATGGGTCGAGAAAAAGATGATATTTTTGCGAAGATACCTGTTTGGAGTTTTCTTGTTTGGTCGCCGGAGAGAAGAACGAAGAAGCAGTGCAGCGAGAAGAGGCATAGGGCAGCATTGAAAGTTTGAGGGTGATATGTCTTTTTTTTGGGTGCGTAATTGGGCCTGGCCCATCACTATTCGGACACGGCCCACTTACAAGTCTTGTTCAGTTTTATTATTTGTTTGCTTAGAATGAATCATCGATTTGTTTTTAAAAAATGGGAGTAGTAGAAGAATGGGATTAAACTTCGATTTTCATGGTGATTATTTTTTAATTTTTTAATTTTTATAAAAAAAAAGTTATCACTCTCTTCTAAGTAATCCTTGAAATAATTAAAATTATATAAGTAGATCTTAAAGTAATAGAAATCATGTTATATAAGGTCCATTTATTTTAAAAAAAATTCTTTTAAAAACTATTTTTTTAATAGAATAAGCAATTTAATTTACACTTTTTATTCTATTTGTCACATATATATATAAAGCAATTTCTGGTTTTTTTTTATTTTACCCGTTTCTTAAAAAAAAAAAGTAAATTGTACTCTCTTCTCTTAAAAGATACAAATATTACATTGTCATTTCCTTTTATGTTAAAAATTACAAGTGACATTTTGATATTTGACACTTTACCCTCTTTAAAGAAAATTATTAAAGTTTCATTAACTTGTGTTAAAAAAAGTTATTACTGATACATCATTTACACTAACATCCTCATAAATGTAAATATTACATCATTCTCCTTTCTTGTGTTAAAAATAAACATTTTTCTTCATTAATAAAATCAAATATGTTACATTTTAACAATTTATCTCTTAATTTACATATTTAATTAATAATTTTAAAAATCATTATGAATTTTACTTAAACTAATTATATATTTAAAAAAAATATTTTTCATTATTATTATTTTTACAAAATATTTGAAAATTATTTATCAAAATAAAAATAATATATATTTAAGTATAATAAAGTCTAATACAAGTATTAAAATATTATTTAATTAATATAGTTAATGTAACATTTTTATAAACATTTAAATAAAATAGTACTTTCATTATGTAACAAGGTATTATTTAATTAATGTTACTAATAAAATATTTTAATAATATTTAAATAAACTAATATTTTATAATATGGAGCATTATTTAATATATTTTATTAATATTATGTTAATGTATATATATATATTAAATATAAGTTTTTTTTAAAATAAATACATTTATATAAAAAATATTATTAAATAATATATAATTATTTTTTTATTTAAAAAAAAAAAAAAAAGGAAGGAGCGATTTTTATAAATTAGGGTTTTGACTTACACTCTACTCTTTGTAGTTTGAAGAAATTGAAGAACTATTGGAAGATCTGAAAGGTGACAACCCCAAAGACTTGTATTTGTCTACGATTGTTCATCAAGGTAATGGAGGAGTGAGTAGTCTCACTTTAGAGTATGGGTTGTATGCTTCAATCTCTTTTATGTTTTTGAATGTGATGTGTGAGGAATCCCAAATTTGTCTTGTAATCTATGAATTTGTATTCCATACTCTTTTTATGTGTGTTATACGTGATGTTTGAATTATATGTGATCAATTAAGTGTTAATTGTTGCAATTATGAATCTATGAGTGTTTGATGTTCTCCATAGGAATCCTAAGGATAAAGTAAAATGAATCAGTAAGTAACAATTAATCTTTTATGAAAAATGTGTAATTAGTGGTTTAATTATATAGATCTAGGGTTTAATTGTAAATTGGTGCAAAAATAGAGAGTTTAGAGGTGGAATTTGTGCTTTAGACAAAGTTTTGAATGGTTTTAGAGATCTATTCTAATACCACGGTCATGTTTATTATGAAACACGCATGTGCTTAAGTAAGTACACTTGTGTTGCATTTATGCAAGGCAATGCACCCTTTTTTAGTTTGAATTGGCTTTTGTGATTTTCATGAAAGTTGTAGTCTAAAATGTTAGCTTTTAAATTTTATTGAAATCACCCAAAAAGAAAGTATAAAATTTAAGTTATGATCAAATTAATGAACGAATTTTAGAGTAAAATGTTACAATTTTGTAATTTTTAAGCATAATAAACGGTAAAATCAACTTTTGAGGTCAACATAAAAGTTGTAGATAATTATCTTAGCTTTCTAAAAAAAATAAAGATAAACTTGATAGCATGTATATATCTTAAGATATCGTGTCTAGATCATGAGAGGTAATAAAAGATTAAATTACAAAAAGATAGTTTGTGAGAAATGATAATGAATAACTATTTGATCTTAGGAGTGGTTTAAGGTACCAATATCAATGTTAAGAAAGGGAAATTTTGGGATAGAAAAATTGTGAGTGAATTATGATGTGAGTTGAATTTTGGCGACTTGAGGTGTTTTAGTGATAGTGATGCCTAAGGAATTAATGAGTAATATTAATAACATTGTATGACTAGTTAAGTTATTAATTTAAATACTTAGTTTGATGTTGATATCCAAGTGTCTATAGCTAAGGTAATAGTATATGATTAGATAATTTCATAGTCACTCTATTTGAGGTGTTATTGGATGATGTGGACATTTTTATATTTGAACTACGAATGTAACACCCAGTTTTCATACCTTATAACAAGGGAATGTACTTCTATTATCAAGGAAAGGAACTCCCAAAGCATGGAAACAACATGTTATGAAATCAGAAGGCCCAAAGCCCAATAAGGGTGTTTTAGTAGCCTAGAACGGGCTGTTCCCAAAACGGAACAAGTCGTTCCCAAAACTGGAACGGGGCTTTCGCAAACTGGAATGGGTCGTTCCAAACTACTAAAAAGGCCTATAACCCTAGTTGGAAACGGGTCGTTCTGGTTTAAGAACGGGTCGTTCCAACAAATATGGTCGTTATGAGTTAAACTCAACTCCAAAATGGGTCATTCTGATTTAAGAACGGACCATTCCAAATGCGAATTTAACACATGATGAAAAGATCCAGAATTGGCTGTTCCAGATCCGAAACGGGCCATTCTGGCCACTTTTAACATCTATAAATAGCAAACTCGGGCACTGCTCCTGGACACACTCTCTGAAGACCAAAGAGAACCAAGAGAAGGAGATCAACCATATTTTGCTCTAGCTTTATCTTCTGCTTATCCAGGTAAGGAGGGAGTAAGAAACCTCGCTTGAAGGTGTGGGAATAATTGTTGGGTAGCAGGATTGACCCTCAATCCCTTGCTTGATGCATGCTTCTAGGAACAGACAAAATATCAATGTTTTCTATTTTATTTTTTTGAATGTTCTGTTGCGTTCCTTGTGTGATGTTGAGCGTAAATATGTGTTTAATTTCAAAAATAGAAAAGTTTTGATATGAATTAGAGTGCTCTGTGAGTTCTTGTGGGAAACCCTATGAAGTAAAATTAGGGATATGATCTTTGGATGAATTTTGAATAATTATATGTAAAATTGATGATGGATTCATGTTTTGGATAATAGTTAAAGTGTTTTGAACAATTAAAATATTATATTCAATGGTTGGTTATAGAAAATGCGTGAAATCATGAAATTGAAATCTATGGCCTTTATGCTTCGTATATTATGAATTACGAATTGAATGGGTATGATGTTGGATAACTTCTTGGTATGATTTATGTCCTATTTTGATGTATATGACTACAAGAAGTTCTTTGAATGGGACTATGTGAATATGAAGTGAGAATGTGAAAGGTGAATATATGATCTGTGATATGATATTATGAAATAATATGACATGAGATATGATGAGACGTGATAAGTGAAATGTTGAGTCAATGAAATAGTAAATGTGTGACATGCATCATATGACTCCAGGTGTGCCGCTTAGACCGCATACTAGTGATGTAACAAGCTATTCCAGGTGTACCTTGGGTCACTAGTGATGAAATGATTTATTCTAGGTGTGCCGCTTAGGCCTCATACCAGTGATGTAACAAGCTATTCCAGGTGTACCTTGGGCTACTAGTGATGAAATGATTTATTCCAGGTGGGCCGCTTAGGCCGTATACCAGTGATCTAACAAGCTATTCTAAGTGTACCTTGGGTCACTAGTGATGAAATGATTTATTCAAGTGATGAGAAATGTGAAACTTCCGTATGGCGCCACATGCATGCATTTATGAGTCGAGTCTATGACATCATTGCATGATAAATGAGTGTGCATGTGATACTGATTGTGTATGTGCATTATTTACATGTGATTTGTGCTTGTGACTTATGTTTGTTGTGTGTGTTATCTAACCTTATTTCCGCACTTGAACCCGAGTAAGATGTTTCTCACTCCCTTGTTGTTATTGTATGTGTTTAAATTATGTTGCAGATGATCATCAGCATGAGGATGTTGGTGATGAAGCTTAGGCTTCAGTTGGGAGTGCTCTGATAGGATATGTGACATCGGGGCATAGTTAGGCTTAGTTTGGGAATTTAGTTTCTTTCTTTTGTTTTGGAAATCCTTCAACTTTATTTCTTCTGTAATTTCCGCCAAGTGAGTTATGATTATGTTTACGAATGTGAATTTTCTACTATCATGTTAGTGGAACCATGGTTTTAATTCAAAAAATTTATTTACTCCAAGAATATGTTTTCATAATTATTGTATATGTATGTTGGGGTAAAGGGTGTCACAACGAACATGTAACTCTTGCGGGATATAACATGTTGTGATTGTGTGTGAACCACGTGATGCAAAGTCTAAGTTGAGGCTTAGTCGAGATAAAGTTTGGGCATGTTTCCTAGTAGTGATATGACTTAAATGTGAATTGTGATATGAATTTATGATGATCAATACATGTGATACGAATATGCATAAGGTCTTATGTGAGATGTATCATATGCATAATATATTTTGTGATGAGTACAATACGGAATACGTTGTCAAGGAAGGTGTCTCTTTTGTAAAAACTTGGGGATTATTAACCTTGGAGATAGTTAAGTTTGGAAGCCTTAGTTATACCAATTTGTGTGCATGGAGTTTAACTTGCACGAAACTGCTATGCCAACATGCCTTGATGTATCTCCTCTTAGTGTAAAGTGTTGTAATGATTTGACATGATATGTTTTCTTAAGTTACTCTACATGTGCCTTTGAAAAACTTTACAACGAAATATTTTATTGGCACCATGCATACTGTACAACAAAGTTTGTGTCCATTATATTGTGTGCATTTTCATATGTAATTGTGTGTCTAAATATTTTGTGACTCCTCGATGAGTATATTGTGCTTATATCTTTATTGTTATATGAATTTTTGTTGTGTTTAACTATTCGGCTATATCTGACCTTGATAACGGCTATTTGACTATATCTTGCCCCAGTAGTTAGACTAAGATGTTTCTCACTCCCCTTTTGTAGTATGGTGTTTTTGTTTATTTTGCAGGTGAGATTCATCATGAGTTAGAGATGAGGCTTAGGCCTCATGTGTTGGTGGTGTATTGAGTTATAATAGGATGTGACATTGGAGTAGTAGTTAGAATTTCATGTTACAATAGTCCTTATGAGTGAGATTGATGTTAGTTATTCCCAATTGTAATTACTTGACTAAACTTATGTTTGTTTCTTTTGTTTTAACATTATATTTTATATGTGATGTCTCTGTTCGAAGAGAATCATGAACCGATTCAATTTATTGAAGCTATTTTTGGATTGTTATGTTATTTCCTTGCTTTTATTTGATTCAATTAATGATAGTATAATTTTTATGAACTTCTTTAAAATAAGGCATTAATTTTATTAAAAATTAAAACTATAAAATATATATGACTTGAATATTTTTTTTTAAATTGGTAGAGACCCAATTATATAATTTAATTAATGAATTATCAATTTCACTCCAAAATCAGTGATCCAATATTCTATTTGATTTGATGATTGGTCGTATATTTAAAATAAGTTTAAATATGTTTTTAGTCTATAAAATTTAAAATTGATTCTTTATCCTTTTAATTTCAAAAAATCTTGTTTTAGTCTTTGTACTTAAATTTTATTAAAAAAATTTATTAAATATTATCACATAAAATTTACTTATTGATATTTCTATTAATAAAAATAATCGTATTAAACCTAACTAATACTACATAATTATCTTAATTTATTATTTTTATATATGTTATTAATAACCTGAAAAATTAAAATAATATTTTTAAAAATTACAAAAATTAAAAATAAAAATTTTAAATTTAAGAGATTAAACACAAATCTATCTTAAATTTAAAGTTAAAAAACATATTTAATCCTTTAAAATATTAGGTAATGAGTTACAATCCGAACTCAATACTAAGTTAGAGAAATATCGAACTCAGTGAAAGCATATCTTTCCTATCAAGTTTGGTCAAATGGTTACAAGAAAGATCAAATTTAATTGTGATATCTAAAGTATATAATTGTCTCAATTTTAAAAATTATTAAAATATCACTGATATAAATAATAGTTTTCATATTAAAATATCATATCGATCGCGTTAACAGAAAAATTGCATAAGAATTAGTTTAAAAATTTAAGAACCCAATAAACAACTCGTAGTTGAGAAATTCTAATTATTTATATTTTATATTATTATTTACTACATAATAATTTGAGTTAATTATCTATATATTGTTAATATAAAATTTTTTTATATTAACAACTAATCATTTATTTTAATAATAAACAAATAATATAATACTATTAAAAAATATTATTAATTTTTTTGCACGTATATAATAATTTTATATAAAATTATTCATTCCTGCAAAAAGAGGTACTGAGAACAGTCGCCATCGTTGAACATGACGTGTTAACCATTTAACTTCTTTGAATTTGAATGCTTCCAAAATCGCAAAATTTGACGAACATACACATATTATTAAAGTAAACAAAAGGTGATTGAAATATTAGACAGATTACCGAAGTGGAAAAATCAACCTTTGGAAACTAAAATCTCTAAAATTAGGGAAAGAAGAAAGACTGCATAGAAATATCAGTTATCCAGAAGGAAAAAAATTATATTTTTATTGTTATTTGTAAATACATAAAGAGAATTTAGTGGTAAAGTTATAAATTTATTATTTAAATAAAAATAAAAATAAATTAAAACCAACTAATTATATTTAAAACTTCGTGATTGTTTTATGACAGAAAATTGTGACTTTTTTATATTTTTAAATTATAATTTATATATTCTTGTGTGATTGAAATAGAAAACGAAAAAAGAAAAAGAGACATTGAAAATGAAAAGAAATACATGGCAACAAGCATTTAAATTTGAGTTTAATCATGGAATATTTTACGGATCTAGAAATCGTAAGGAATGAGATTATATATATATATATGTGTGTGTGATGTTAAATTTCTAACATAGATATTGAATCACAATTGAATATATTATTTTATTTTTATAAGATCAATTTTATAAAAAAAGAGAGTTATATATTCTTATTAAATCAAACAAATATTTAAATAATTTTTCATTTTCAATAATATAAAAAATTAGAATTATTAGAGTCATCCTATTGATGAGATCTCAAGATACTATACAGAATATCATGATGTTGTTATTATAATTTTGAAAAATAAAAAAAGAAAATATTATAAAAATCTCCTCTGTATAAATTAATAGATCCTACAATAAGATTTAATAACTTAAATTTTTTATAATATCAAAATATACATTATTAGGATTTAAAATAATATAATACAATTTATACATGTTACACTAAGAAAAACTTGAAAACTTAGTGGGGGCATGTATCTCACATCCTTGGTCATAAACGTTCCAGGTGCAAAATTAACATACCAAAAGTGAAACCAGAACGGCCCGTTCCGGTTTCAGAACAAGCCGTTCTGGGTCCAGGTGTTTTCAAGAAAATTGTCATCCATGTGACATTCATGTGTGCATCTATGTGGCATTCACGTGGCCAGAAATTAACTCCGTTTAAATAATTTGAACGAAAGTCCCACATTAAAACCAATTAATTAGTTTGAGACCAAATTGAAACAAAAAATAAAAGTGAGACTAAATTGAAACAATAATATAAGGGAATAAAATAGGGTTTTAGCCTATTTATTATAAATATTTATAAACTCATCACGTTACATGTATGATAGTTTGTAACGAGATATAAGTGTAATCAATTAGAGCAAATAAAGGTAATTAAGATATAGCAAAATTCAGGAGATTTTATTGATATGATTATATTATTATTGTGAATAGTTTTTTCTGTCACGTGTATATTTTGGCTCTCAGCTATCAACAAAAGAGCAGAAAAACATATTTTCCTCTGTCAACTTTTATTAATTAATTTGTGATTGGTGTAAATGATGTATTCTTTTTGAATTTTATACACGATCATTATCTTTTAACAAGATTGTTTTTTAACATTATTATACCTGTGGAAAACAAAAACCGGAGGCCCAACAACCTTTGAATGAATGAGTTCGTTCAAACTAACGACTAAGAACACAGAAGGTAGAGGTTATAAATAGAGGGCTCTCCATGCTTTACAAACACCTCCTTCTTCTGAATCAAGTATTATTGTTCATTTCATATATAAAATCTAAGGCATCATCATGGGTGTTTTCTCATTTGAGGATGAAACCACATCACCTGTGGCTCCTGCTAAGCTTTACAAAGCTCTAGTTAATGATGCTGATAACCTCATCCCAAAGGTTGTTGAGGCTGTCAAGAGTGTTGAAATCGTTGAGGGAAATGGTGGCCCTGGAACCATCAAGAAGCTCACTATAGTCGAGGGTTAGTCACTCACTATATATATTCATTTTCTAATTAACTAAATATTATTATTCTCTTGCACTTAATTAATTATAGGCCACTTTCATAAATAGTTCTAATTGCATTTTTTTTTTATTTATGTTCTATGATTTTACACATTTTATTACCTCATTTTTAAAATGGTATATTTTGTTACTTAATTTTGTGAAGTTTATTATTTTATTAGTTATTTGTTTTATATCATTAATTAACTATGTTAATTTAAATGTTCATCATCAACATAACAAATCATCATTTATGTGTCACAATATTGATGATCATGTAACATGTTATTTAAACGTGTCATATTATTAACTAACGTGGTAAAAGGTTCAAAATTTTAAAAATTTTATCTATTTGGGACAATTTTAAACGTATAATTGTTTCTCAAAGTTTTTTAAGTTAGTTTACTACATAACACATGATTATTTGTGTATCTAAACAAAATTAAATATTTTAAAATCATTTTTTTTATCAAATTCAACTAAAAAAATCATTTTAATTATAATTTATTATAACAATATTGAATTATACATATAATTAATTATTAAAATAATTTAATTTTTTACAACTTTTGCAAACAAACTTATTAGATGAAGAAACGTATCGCTTAAAAATTAAGTGACCAAATTTGTGAAATTATAAAATTGAAGCTAAAAAAAAAAGTTTGCGATTAAGCCTAATAAGTGATAAAGATGATCTGAATGAATGTATATGTTGGGCAGAGGGGGAGACGAAGCATGTGTTGCACAAAGTTGAAGGCATTGATGAGGCAAACTTTGGATACAGCTACAGCATAGTTGGGGGTGTGGCTTTGCCAGACACAGTGGAGAAGATCACTTTTGAGTCCAAATTCATTGCTGGCCCCAATGGAGGCTCTGTTGCCAAGCTCAGTGTCAAGTTCCAAACCAAAGGAGATGCCAAGCCCAATGAAGAGGAACTCAAAACTGGCAAAGCCAAGGGAAATGCTCTTTTCAAGGCCATTGAGGGTTACCTTTTGGCCAATCCTCATTACTGAATTCATGCCTTTTAACCTTGCTTACATGCAAGAGTTTTGTTGTGTGTTTTTGTTATCATCCACTCTCTGTGTTGTGTGCTTAAGTTGGCTTCCAATGTAACAAGTCATAAGTGTTTTCCTTTTTTTTTGTCTTCCTTTGCTGCAGAATTGTGAGAGTTAGTTGATATCTCTGTATCTCACTTTTTCAATAAATTATAATAAAGGATGCATCATTTTTTATTTTTATTTATTTATAACTATATAGTCTATACTAACTCTGGTGAGTTTATTAAATTTTACCCAGAATGTATTTTTATTGTGGCAACAAGCGGTCATGGTTGAGAAATATAAATGCCCTTGATTTGGAGAATAATTATTTACATTTTAGAAGTTTTCTTTTAATAAAACTATAAAAAAGTGGGTTATAAGAGGTTGTTGCATGAGCTTTATCCTAATTCATTTTCTATCTAAATTCTCCTCTTATTTAAGAGTCTAAGTTTCTTTGTAAGTATCTCTATCGAGAATGTTGAAGAGCAAATGTCATTATCTCACTTGTCGGACACTGGTAAATTAAAGTAATAACATAAGGTTTAGAGTAAAAAAAAAAAGTATGTAATTATACTTGATCTCGACCATATATTTATTTAACAATATATTTGACGATTAATTTTAACTTTGTATGGATGAAAATCTTTTTAGCCTCACACTAAAAAATAACAACTACTATTTATAAGAAGCTTCTCAGAACAAACACTAATATCTACTTAGTAATTAGATGAAGTTTAATGTCTAATTTGACCTAGGACCTTACTTGTTAAACTAAGAGCCACAAGAAATTTACTAGAAAAATTTCACCTATGATTCCAAGAGATTTACTTGAATAAACGTGCTCACTAATATAGAATTTTAATAGTTTTAAGAAGTGTCAAATCTGCAGCATAAAATACACAAACTTAAATTGAATCCTTAATCACCTGTACCAACCAACAATGAGCTATTTACAATAAGTTAAAACTAATACAAAGAAGTCAAATACTTAATAATCTCCTTTATCATGGAAACCATGATGACTTTATCATTCAAATCACACCTCAATTAATTAATTATTTGATTGAAGATGATTTTTTTTATGTGTTGGCATGTATCACTACATATGAATTAAAATTTCCAATCTATACTTATTATATGTGCTAGTTTAGAGTGTTAATTTACATTTTTTGTGATATTTTTCATAACAAATTAGTTATGAGTTAGCTAGATTTGTGAATTTGGGCTTGGTTTGATGGGCTAGCTCAACTAGTCTGTAAATAAAATCAAACTAAATCTTAAAAAGAATAACTTAAATAAAATCAAGTCATTTTGACTGAATTCATTAAGTTTGATATGCTAAATGGGCCTAAGTTTGAATGACCTGCAAGTTTAGGGCTGATATGTTAAATTAATAAGAGAAATAATTTGAATTATTATCATTATCAATCTGTAAATCTATAATGTATTATAAAATAATATAATTAAATATAATAATAGTAACAACCTTTCACTCTTTTGTGTTTTCTTATAGAGTTGTGATTACGAGCTTAGAGTTAAGGTTAATTATTATGCGAGTTTCTCTACTCTTGTTTCGGGTACTAATCATTTAAAGTGTAATATTATTAAATGTATTAGATGTCTTAAGTACCGAGATGAGGTCATGCAAGATAAAAAAACTAATTTATTAAAGTAGTGACAATTTGATCTTAAAACTTATAGAGATGCACTTGCTAGAGGTATTATCAAGCATGATATAATTATATTTATGTTGGATTTAAAGAGGTTTGGACAGTGAATAAAATGTTAAATCCTGATTTTAAACTTAATTGTAAAAACACTTCAACAATTGATCGCAATAATGTTTTTAAAAGTTAAAGAATATATTAACTATAAAATATGTAACTTCTAATGTATGGACATTTGTAACTACTTAAGATTATAGGTTATATGACTATGATTGGTTGACTGCTCATTTGTAATTAGTATACAGTATCAATTAATCATATTATAATTTTTATCGTAAAAAAAATAGATTTAATTTTTTAATAATTCTTTTAAATTAGGCCAATTTAGTCACATAATCTAACATAGATCAAGTTAGACAAAAAAAAAATAATAATAACTTGAAAAAATATATAAATCAAACTAACCTAACCTAAAATAACATTTAACATGATTTACTTAGGCTAACTTGTTCTGTTTGACACCTCTAGTATTAACATTGATATTAAAAAAAAAAAAACTCATAAAATTAGTTTTTTTTAATATTTTTCTTAATTAATTAAAAAATTGTACAAAAAATTAATATAGAAAGCAACCTTTTCTAGATTGATTGCAGAACTGCAGAAAGTAACTTTCTACATTAATTATGGTCACACTTAATGTAGAAAGTAAGTATTTACTTAAAAAAAATCATTTAGAACAAGTAACTAAATATAATTTTTTTGATCTTGTTAACTATATATAGTTTATAAAATTTAACCAATAATTTTAAATATACTAAAATCAAACATTAAATTTTATAGACTATAATGAAACATTTGAATTTAATAAAAACTAAAATCAAACTTAAATTTTATAAGAACTAAAATTTTAAATTTCACGCAAATGACTTGTATTCGAACACATTCCTTCACTAACTACTGTTGTTATTTTATTTCCTTCTCATTATTATATTTTTGAGTATTTTCTTTTCTTGAAAAAGACCAATGACACGGAGATTTGCTTTCATCACGAACATTAATGTAAAAAAGAGTTGCTATGTATTTTAATTTAAAAATAAAATAAAATAATTTTGTGAAGTAATAATAAGTAGTTAACAATTGGATAATTTGAATGCTTATGGGTAGATAATTTATGAATTTGCAAGTAAAAGTAATTTCTGGTGAGTGGTGATAAATAAGCATAATTACAAGAAAGAGTAGGTGTATGAAAAAAAAAAAAATTAAACTAAACCAAAACCAGATCAGACTACACAATAGAAAAACACACAATTTTTAAAAGATTCGATCAAACATGGATTTTTTCTTAAAATAAATTTTATAAAATAGGACCATTTTAAAAGTGGTTTTTTTGTCAACTTTAACCGCACCTTTTTGAACCTAAAATCAATTCCGTGTACCAGAATTGGATCTTATACTTTACTGTCAAATTTGTAGTCGTTGTAGTTGAAAATACGAACGAAAACACTTCAAGAGAAAAAGAGAGTAACATTTTCCCATAATAATAAGTTCATCCACAAAAATGGACATAAAATATCAATAAAAATAAAATATTTTCTTCACAAACCCATGCTCTAACTAATAAAAAAATTTCTTCACAAACCCATGCTCTAACTTATCACTTTGAAATTTCATAAAAACAAGTTAATATATAAATACTAAAAAAAAAAAAAGCAAGGCCAAACAACATGATATTTGTACCTTTCAAAATACTCTTAAAAAATACAACAAAATGCAGCCGATAAACACGCCGCCATTGACCGGCACAGTCAAAATATGGGCACGCCGGGAGGGAGTCGCGCTTCAGGGCCTTCTTCAGGTGACCCTTGTAAAAACACTTGACAAACATGTTTTTGAAGCAATATTACAAAAATTAGTACCGAGATATTTTATGCTTTTATATTTTATTTATTAAAAATGTTTAAAAATTATTAATATTCATTGAATCAATAGAAATTAGTTCTAAATCTTGAAATCTTAAATTTAATAAAAATAGTTAATTTTTAATATTTATTATTATTATTATTTATTTTATTCTTTATAAAGTCGATCGAGACTTTCTTCAATAGACTCTTCGATTTTTTGGTTTTCCAGCAATTATAGTTGATTTGATTATTCATGGAATAACATCTTCTTAACTCTTTCTTTTATGGAATGGGAACAAGTTGGATGGTTTTGCACCTACCAAGGGGTTATTGCGACATGGGATCCATTGTCACCTTACCTATTTGTGTCGTGCATGGAATGACTTGATATGATGATTCATACGGAGGTTGAGGAGGGTACTTGGAGACCTTTTTAGCTATCAAAAAATGGCCATAAGTTGTCTCATTTTCTTTGCAGATGATGTTTTACTATTTGCTAAGGCAAAGAGAGATCAAGCAATGATGATGAAAAAAACTTTGGAGAATTTTTGCAATAAGTTAGGCATACGAGTGAGTTTGATTAAATATCAGATTGAGAGTTATTTGGGTTTTTGCATTTTCAAGGCAGAAACACTCGAAATGATTTTATGGACATTGTTGAGAGGGTGACTTCTAATTGTCCGGCTGGAAGAGTTCTCTTCTTAACAAAGCTGGGAGGGTTCCTCTTGTTAACTTGGTTATCACATCACTTCCTTCATATGGTATGCAAGTTTACTGGTATCCTTATATTTTTCATTTTATTGATAGATCTGTGTGGTCTTTTATTTGGAAAGGGAATGACAACAAAGGTCTTCATATGGTTGGTTGGATAAGATTACAACTTCTAAGAAGGTTGGGGCTTAGGTATTCAAATAGCTCGAGAACAAAACACAACCCTTTAGGGGAAGATAGTGTAGGACATTCTTCACCCAAAAATTCAACTCTAGGTTTTGATTTTAGGTACAAAATACCTACAACATGGCTCGTTATTTCAAGCTAAAAATCAGAAAGGACCTCTAACTTGGAATGCTATTATCAAAGCTTTTCTTGTGTTGGAAGATGGGTTCATTAAGTTGGAGAATGGAGAGTTAAGTGTCTGGTTTGACCCATGTGTAGTGAAAGATACTCTCACTAGTAGGGTTCCTTGGGGTGCTATTCAAGAGTGGGGTTGAAAGTTAATGATATTTGGGATGGTCAAGCTTGGAAACTGGATAAGTGTCAGAACCCCTAAAAAGGAAATGAATTGAGTTTCGACCCAACCTCGCGGCCAACAGATGGTTTGGATCTCCATTTGAAAAATCTCATCAACTTCAAATTGTCTGAAGATCGAACTAATCCTCCGATTGATGATTTTGAAAATGGTTTGAAGAAGTCATCACCGATATTTTACACAAAAATTTGAAAAAAGAAAAGTGTTTTCGCAAATTTGACTTTGGCCTTCATAGCCAAAGTTGAGTTTGGGTGTTGGTTACGTGTGGGAAAGGTGTTAGACACCCTACAACGCCCAATCTCAATACCCTATGACAAATCTAGCATTGTAATGGCATAATTAAGCTTTTACCCCTTTATTTATTAAACATACATGGTTATT